AAACTCAATCAGAGAAATATTAGAATTCAACATTTTATGTCCAGAGGACATGAAAGGGCAATTCACAAAAAAAGCAATATGCATAGCCAATATGCATTTTATTTAAAAATTCAGACTTACTAGAAATCAAAGAAATGCATCCAAAACCAAGATCTTGCTTTTCATCTATTTCACTAGCTAAGATGAAAAATAATTATGTATTCAGGGTGATAAGGGTGTGGGGAAAGGGTGTTCTCAACTACTGCTGGTGGGAATATAAATGGAAACAATTTAGCAATGAGTGTTTTTAAAAATCTTAAATATGTACATACTCTTGGATCTAGAAATCCCACGTCTAAGAATTTGTTCTACGGAAATAACCAGCTAAGTATACACAGATTTATTCACAGGGATGTCCACTGATGCACTGTTTATATAAATAAAAAAAAGTTAACATTAAAACATTAACAATATGTTTAAGAGCAAGTTATTGACAAAATAAGTTATGATGTATCCATACTATAAAATAACATGCTTTTTTTTTTTTTTTTTTTTTTTTTGAGACAGGTTCTTGCTCTGTCACCCATGCTGGAGTGCAGTGGTGCAAACATGGCTCACTGTGGTCTCCACCTTTTTCTTTTTTTTTATTGTATTTTAAGTTCTGGGGTACATGTACACAATATGCAGGTTTGTTACATAGGTGTACATGTGTCATGGTGGTTTGCTGCACCCATCAACCCGTCATCTACATTAGGTATTTATCCTAATGCTATCCCTTCCCCTGCCCCCCACCACCCAACAGGCCCAGTGTGTGATGTTCCCCGCCCTGTGTCCAGGCATTCTCATTGTTCAACTCCCACTTGTGAGTGAGAACATGCCGTGCTTGGTTTTCTGTTCTTGTGTTAGTTTGCTGAGAATGATGGTTTCCAGCTTCATCCATGTCCCTGCAAAGACATGAACTCATCCTTTTTTATGGCTGCATAGTATTCCATGGTGTATATGTGCCACATTTTCTTAATCCAGTCTATCACTGATGGGCATTTGGGTTGGTTCCAAGTCTTTGCTATTGTGAACAGTGCCACAATAAACATACGTGTGCCTGTGTCTTTATAGTAGCATGATTTACAATCGTTTGGGTATATACCCAGTAATGGGATCCCTGGGTCAAATGGTATTTCTAGTTCTAGATCCTTGAGGAATCGCCACACTGTCTTCCACCATGGTTGAACTAATTTACACTCCCACCAACAGTGTAAAAGTATTCCTATTTCTCCACATCCTCTCCAGCATGTTGTTTCCTGACCTTTTAAAGATCACCCTTTTAACTGGCATGAGATGGTATCTCATTGTAGATTTGATTTGCATTTCTCTGAAGATGAGTGATGATGAGCTTTTTTTTAATATGTCTGTTGGTTGCATAAATGTCTTCTTTTGAGAAGTGTCTGTTCATATCCTCTGCCCACTTTTTGATGGGGTTTTTTTTTTCTTGTAAATTTGTTTAAGTTCTTTGTAGATTCTGGGTTTTAGCCCTTTGTCAGAAGGATAGATTGCAAAGATTTTCTCCCATTCTGTAGGTTGCCTGTTCACTCTAATGATAATTTATTTTGCTGTGCAGAAGCTCTTTAGTTTAATTAGATCCCATTTGTCAATTTTGGCTTTTGTTGCTATTGCTTTTGGTGTTTTAGTCATGAAGTCTTTGTCTATGCCTATGTCCTGAATGGCATTGCCTAGGTTTTCTTCTAGGGTTTTTATGGTGTTAGATCTCATGTTTAAGTCATTAATCCATCTTGAGTTAATTTTTGTATAAGGTGTAAGGAAGGGATCCAGTTTCAGCTTTTTGCATATGGCTAGCCAATTTTCCCAATATCATTTATTAAATAGGGAATCCTTTCCCCATTGCCTGTTTTTGTCAGGTTTGTCAAAGACCACGTGGTTGTAGATGTGTGGTGTTATTTCTGAGGCCTCTGTTCTGTTCCATTGGCCTATATATCTGTCTTGGTACCAGTACCATGCTATTTTGATTACTGTAGCCTTGTAGTATAGTTTGAAGTCAGGTAGTGTGATGCCTCCAGCTTTGTTCTTTTTGCTTATCATTGTCTTGGCTATCTCGGCTCTTTTTTGGCTCCATATGAAATTTAAAGTAGTTTTTTCCAATTCTGTGAAGAAAGTCAGTGGTAGTTTGATGGAGATAACATTGAATCTATAAATTACTTTGGGCAGTATGGCCATTTTCACAATATTGATTCTTCGTGAAAGAAAAATCAGTACTGTGACAATGTGGAGTCTCACACTATCACCCAGGCTGGAGTGCAGTGGCGTGATCTTGGCTCACTGTAACCTCCGCCTCCTGGGATCAAGCGATTCTCTTGCCTTACCCTCCTGAGTAGCTGTGGTTATAGGTGCCCTCCACCACGCCCAGTTAATTTTTTGTATTTTTAGTAGAGATGGGGTTTCACGATGTTGTTCAGGCTGGTCTCGAACTCCTGACCTCTTGATTTACCTGCCTCGGCCTCCCAAAGTGCTAGCATTATAGGTGTGAGCCACCACGCCTGGCCAATTCTCCACCTTTATGCATCTATTACATAATATTTTAATGGTGTGCTTATGGCATGGACTATATTTGTTATATTTTGGTAAGTTAAATTATAAAATGAGAAATATAGTTAAACAATTATAAAATCTATATGCATTGTTTTGGCAAAAGTATGAAAGCAAATAAATTACCATGATATATGCTTTATGAATTATGGATAATTTTTCTTTTTCATTTATCTTATTTACATCTTTCTACAATTATGTAGTAAAAATGACTTTCGGCATGGTGCAAAGGATCACGTCTGTAATCCCAGCACTTTGAGAGGCCAAGGCAGACAGATCGCTTGAGCTCAGGAGTTCAAGGCCAGCCTGGGCAACATTATGAAACCTTGTCTCTACAAAAATACAAAAGAAAATTAGCCGGGAGTGGTGGCACACGCCTGTAGTCCCAGCTATTCAGGAGGCTGAGGTGGGAGACTCGCCTGAACCTGGGGAGATAGAGGCTGCAGTGAGCCATGATGGTGCCAATGCAACTCCAGCCTCAGTGACAGAATGAGAGCCTGTCTCAAAAAAAAAAAAAAAAAAAAAAAACCTTTCAACAAGAATGACAAAATTCAAAGACTGAAAAGGAAATAATGGGGAAATAACCATCAAAAATAGGAGAATCCTGAAGACAGATCCTCTTTGTAATTGAATCTCTGAATGTAAGCTAGGCTATGTTGGTGCTATGTAAAAATACTTTTGACTTTGCCAAACACTGAGCTACAGCTACCCAAGTGGCATAAGGGAAAAGTCTGAACATTCTTTGCGAATTTCTACTTCCACAGCATTATTTAAATGTCTAACTAATTTTTATTACATAATTGTAGAAAGATGTAAATAAGATAAATGAAAATAAATATTACCTATAAGTCATAAACCACGTATCATGGTGATTTATTTACTTCCATACTTTTGCCAAAATGTTGTTTATAGAATTTATGAATTTTTAACTATTTTTTCATTTTATAATTTAACTTACCAATATATAATAAATATAGTCCATGCCAATAAGCACACCATTAAAATATTATGTAATAGATGCATGAAAGTGGAGAGTGCAGTGAGCTGTGTTTGCACCACTGCACTCCAGCCTGGGTGATAGAGCAAGGCCCTGTCTCAGAAAAAAAAAAAAAAAAGGATGCATGATATTTTATAGTATGGATACATCATAACTTACTTCATCAATAACTTGCTATGAAACATACCATTAATGTTTTAATGTTATCTTTTTTTAAGTTGTTGTAAAGAATCTCAAAAAGTGAAGCCTCAATAAGTTTCGATGATGGAAACAAATTAGTAGAAAGGATCTATGATCTAGGAATTGTTATGTGTATGATAAATCAACTCAACATCAAAGGCCTGTATTTTAGATGCAGCCACAGAATCCACACTGAGGAATTCTTAAGGAGCTCTGCTGAAGTGGCAAACTCATTTTATTTACTCTCCATTTTTTCCAACTATACCTTGCCTGAAGCTGGGCTCCCTGTTGTTATACATCTTTAAGAAACAAAAATAAATTCTAGCATAATGGGATCAAAACTTGGTAGTCTCTTATGGTGATGAATTCAGAGATCAGTTATAATGAGCAAAGAGACTACTTCCTGCGACAGCCAAAATCATATGGTACCAAACAGACCTAAGATATTTCTCTTCCATGAATGTATGTGTGATATATGCAAAGTGCATACAGCAAGCCCTGGGAGTGTCTGATCATGTATTCTGTATTTTGAGCATTATCCACCATGTTTGCTTTTTTTGCACTGTGGCTTAACCTACACAAAATGTAGAGAAATCTGCATCGTTTGATTATTGATTGCTTGAATATGCTATTAATGAGGTCTTCTACTGTCTTAGGTTGGGTTCCCCAGGAAGTAGATTCTGAGACAGAGAGTTGTGTGCAGGAGTCTATTGGGAAAACATTTGTGAGGGCATGAGGAAGTAGGACAGTGGCAGAGTTTGGCCTGAGGTGACCTCTTGGGGAGGGGCGCTCAGGAGGTGGGATGGGTCATTCAGGTTGTGTGGAATTGAGTCAAGAGGACTGGGTCTTTGCATCTCCCACGCCTGTTGCAGCCACCCCCTCACCCCTATGGATAGGAGACCTTGGGAGAGGCCACTTCCTTCATCGAAGGCAAGTCTTTGGGAGGCCTCAGTTGTAACCTGTCAGCAGCCAACACTCTCTGAACCAGACAGTAAGAGGGTCTCCAGCCTGAAGGGGAATCTGGGCTGGGTGCTATGCGATGGACCAAATGTTTGTGTTCTTCCAAAATGTATATGTTGAAACCCTAATCCTCAGTGTGGTGGTATTTGGAAATGAGGCTTTGAAAGGTAATTAGGTTTAAATTAAGTTATGAAGGTGAAGCCCCTGTGATGAGATTAATGCCCTTATAAAAAGAGGAGTAGACAAGAACACATACTCTCTCTCTCTCTCTCTCTCTGCACGCGAGGACCAAGCAAAGGCCTTGTGAGGACGTAACCAGGAAGAGAGTGCTCACCAGAACCTGACCATACCGGCACCTTGATCTCAAACTTCCAGCTTCCAGAACCATGAGAAATCAATGTTTGTTGTTTTAACCACCCAGTCTATAGAAATTTGTTATAGCCACCCCAGCTGACTACCACATTGGGCATCACAGCAAACACTACAACCAGTAAGTCTCTGCTTGTATTAACAGTGGGACATTTCCAAAGCCTGTCCTACTCAGGATAAATGCACAAAAGAAAAATTAGTAGTTTCAGGCAGAATTCTTAAGAGAGCAGTTTTGCGTTTTTTACCAAGTAATACTTATTTAACTTCTAGGGCAGTAAAATAAGAAAAATTATTACTCTCCACCTCCTGCCATTATGAATTTAGGAAATGTAGAAAGGTATTCTGTTAATAAAGATGTGAACTTGTTGTTAAAGAGAAAATGTTTATGTTGCATCTGTTTCCCTGTGTTTTGGCCACTGCAAGATTCTGTCCTGTAATTTATAAAGCACAGAAGTTTATTTTTCGCAATTCCAGAGGCTGAGAAGTCCAAGATCAAGCCTCTGGCAGGTTTGTTGTCTGGGAAGGGGCAGGTTCTCTGCTTCCAAGACTGTGCTCTTTTGCTGCATCTTCTGAAGGGAAGGACAAGACGGCCGAAGGCTACGTGAAACCTCTTTTATGAGTTCCTTAATTCCATTCTTGAGGGGAGGAGCCTTTATAGACTAATCATCTTTTAAACGCACCAACTCTTAATGCCATCACATGAGCCATTATGTTTCAACACCCAAATTTTGGAGGGGACACACTCAAACTATAGCAGTCCTTTTGCATTTTGTTCAGGATATCAAAAAGGCCACTTATATTTCATAGGAAATAGTGGAAAAGCTTGCATTCAAACTTTATCTTGAAAAATGCAATACAAATTGTGAAATCATGTTTATTATATTTCATATGTAACGAAATGTAGGCTATAATGATATCTAGATACTTATTCCTAGAACTAAGAATAAATGGATTGGAATTTGGGGATGTAATTTTTCCAATGAAATTTTATAATAGCCCAAATGACATTCTTCACTTTATAGTTTATTTGTACAGCATGATAGTGAAGATGGACATTTTGACAAAAATGTTTGAGGATTTTATGAACTTTTCCCAGGGCCTCTCAGTCCTTTAATTTTGAACTCATTATTTTTGGAAACATCTCTGCTGTCATTATCCTCCTTGATGTTTCTCTAGTTGTAGACATGTTTACTTCGACACCTAAGGGGCATGCCAGTATTAAAAATGTGTCCAGAACAGAAACCTTGATTCTGTTTTCCTTGCATTCTCTTCCTACCTTCACTCTAACTTCTCTTCTCCTCCAGTTGCTGAAGACAAATATCTAGGAATTATTCTTTATTTCTTTTTTTCTCTCACACACTATATCCACCAGCAAGTCCTGTTGGCACCACACCCCTGAACTCACCATTTCTCACCAGCTCCATTGCTACCTCCAAGTAATTGCCAGCCACCTTCAGCCCTTGCCTGAACTACTTTGGTGACTTCCTAAATGGGCTCCAGCTTCTACTCTACTTCCCTACAATCCACTCTCCTTAGAGCTGCCAGAGTGATTTTTAAATGGATTTGTTTGTATTAACTACTACATTGACAAGGTTCAAAATTTCACACACTGTAAAAAGAGATGTTCAGAGAAGTCTTGCATTCACTCCTGCACTTCTCACCCCAACCCTCCAATGATATCCCTTCCATCCATATACTTTTAAAATCCTCCTTGGGTTTTTAAGGCAATTACAAGCATATTCAAATATATTTTCTCCCACCTTATTACACAAAAGATAGCCTACCATATACACTGTTCTACATCTTGCTTTCTTTCCCTTGCCATATGTCCTAAAGCTCTTTCCATATGTATCACTACATAGAGAACTTCCCTACTTGTTTTGACAGCTGCATGTCATACCATTGTTTATGTAACCAGGCCCCTTTTGCTGAATATGGGAGTCATATCCATTTTTTGCTCTTACAAATAATACAGCAATAAATAACCTTATACATGTGTTGTTTCTACATGTGGATATGCATCTATGAGATAGAATCACAGAAATACAATTGCCAGATTATATATTTTATTGTATTTGCCAATTTCAAAATGAAAATTTTAAAGGTGAATCTGATGATCAGTTCTCCTGCTTAAAAGACAATCCGAATGAAAACCATTAGTGAAACCCATAAGGCCTCCCTAATTTGGCCCTTGTCTACCTCTTCAATACTGAAACTATGCCCAAAAGAGTTAAAGAAACCAATGACTAACAAATTCTTGACTTTGCAGGATGACAGATTAAAAAAAGAAACAACCTGCTGAAAGGCTGAAACGCCCTCTGCTTATCACATAAAAGAAATGGCTGAAATCCTTTGGAACCAATATGACCAACTGGAGTCGGTGCAGAAGGAGCTTGCTGACAGCACAGCCTGAATTTCCACCGTATGTTTCATACCAACTCCCCCTGAATTTGCACATGTGACACATGAGATAGCATGAAGAGATAACTGAGCATGCCCAAGGACTTTCCAGACTTCTGCTTTCCTTCCACCAATCACCTGCTAATCTCAGAATCCACCCCCTGAAACTTTTCTAATAAAAATACCGCTTTGAAGCCAGTACAGGGAGACAGATTTGAGCTTGACTTCTGTCTCCTTGGGATTGACTTTCAATACAAAGCTTTTCTTTTCTCAAAAACATGGTGTCATAGCATGGGCTTCTAGTGCATTGGACAGTGAGCCCCTTTTACTCGATAACAATATCAGCTATGTTTTTCTCCCTCTTTCACTGTGGACTAAGCATTCAACTTTCTTTTATTAATCCTTTAAAATCCTATACCATTTGCAAGATTTGCTTTATGCACATTGGCAATACAGTACAAATACAGTGTGTTTGATTTGCACTGTAGTTGTACTGTATTGCCACTCTGTATAAAAATCCAGTCATCAGCTAGATACCTACCTAACAAAAAAGTTGTTCCTAGAAGGAAGGAAGCAAAGCTAATGTTTAATGGATATGACTGTTTGAGTGGCTTTTATAAGCAGTCATTTGATAAATAAACATTTCTAGGTTATGATGACTTTTAGTCTCCTATACTGCTTCAGACTTCAGGGACTCAGATAATGAATGCTGAGATAATGTGGATGTTTTATCATTCTGTAGCATTCTGATCATGGATTCCAGATACATAAAGGTAAAGTTCTAACCTTATAAAGAAACAACATGGTCAGTGAAAGAGCACTGGGCTGGAAATTACAAGTTCCATGTCCCAGTGCAGAATCTGCCACTAAGTAAGCTGTGAAGGCTTAGGCAAGCCATTTCACTTTTCTCTGGCCCATTTTATTTGTATGAAGAGAAAGAGAAAGGAATTCATTGTGATTCTCAAGTTTTTCACTCCCCAAAGATTCCCTTTATTCCTCCCCCCATTTTCATATGTTGAGAAATTGTGTCTACTAAAATATATTCATTAGTAGTTTGTTCATGTTCTCATGTTCGTTGCTTATTATTAGTATAGTCATGTTCATTGTTAATTTATCATATATATATATATAAAATTTCCAATTCAGCTTAGCATTAAAAAATCAATTGACATTGGTTGAGTTGATGTAATACCCTTCAAGGCAAAGAAACCAGATTAATTTGTCTGGGTGGTTAATCTTAATTCCTAAGAATTAAGAGGCTGCAGGTTGGGACTCTCTGCATCCAGTTGATTGTAATTTTTTTGTTTTGTTTTGTTTTGTTTTTACAAGTCTGAGAGTCAATGCTATTTATATTTGCATTTCTATTCAGTCCAGTGCTTGTACAAATGGTACCTCAGAGGGTCCTGTGGGTTCAGCAAAGTAGCTCGGGAGCAGAAATGGGGGTGGGAAAAGAGGAGTCTTAGGGCCCCGAAACCTGTTTCATCTAGAGCAGCCTCACTTTTCTCTGCTCTAAATGCTAGATTCTGCTTAAGATTTTCTTATTTAAATTTTTTTTTTTTTTTTTGAGACAGAATCTGGCTCTGTTGCCCAGGCTGGAGTGCAATGGTGCAATCTTGGCTCACTACCACCTCCCCTTCCTGGGTTCAAGTGATTCTCCTGCCTCAGCCTCCCAAATAGCTGGGATTACAGGTGTGTGCCACCACGCCCAGCTGATTTTTGTATTTTTAATAGAGACAGATTTTCACAATGTTAGCCAGGCTGGTCTCGAACTCCTGGCCTCAAGTGATCCACCCGCCTCAGCCTCCCAAAGTGCTGGGATTACAAGTGTGAGCCACCATGCCTGGCCTTAAGATTTACTTTGAAGGAAGGGTTTAAACCATCAAAATAATTTGAAAAATATAACTTAAACTCAATTATATAGATGAGAATAATGAGGCATAGAAAAATTAAATGAAACTGTTCCAAGGTTACAGAGTTAATTAATGGCAAAATACTCATTCAGTCAATCAACAAATATTTATTGAACACTGTAGAAATAAAAATTGTAAAGCTAAAGTTTTGATTTGGTCTTAGTTGAAAAACAATCTCTGAGTCACTGTATTGGATCAGAAGCATTAGGATGAAAGAATCTTGTTTTCATAAATTGATGGAGAACTGACATTATCATGTATGTTACTATTGTGCAATAAGACAAGGAAGAGAGGGCAGGGGCATATTTGCATTCAGATGACCACAGGAGGCTGGGGACAGGCCAGGTTTGGTAAAGGGCTTGTTTCAATTTAAATCTATGGTGGCTCAGGCTCTGATGGTCATACTATTGCTCTCATTAATGTGCACAGGGAAGGAGCCAAGAGCCCCACTTGACCTAAGATTAACATTCAGGTTTTGTTTCATTTCCCAGAGAAAATATGTGATTAGCACCAAACCTGGAAAAACCCGTGGCTATAGAATATGTGTAATTTAATCTATAAAATATGTTTGTAGAAGTCAATTGGTTGTACTTGTTCAACTTAATAAGTTCACTGGCATTATGATAACTTATCCATGACTGGGTATTGCATATGTTCTCCTGGTAGTCCAAAAGTTATAGCCCTTCTGATTTTAACTTTCTCTTTACGAACTGTTTGCAATAAAGCTCATCATTAGCAGATTCAAATCCAAATATAACACAAAGCTTTGTTCTTGGCCAGCACCAGTCAAGAGCCAGCCCATCTTCTAGGCACGGAGGATACAGCAATGAACATGTTGGGAGAGTTTCCTGTTTCTATGAACTAGCCCCGGGTCTCTTGCTTTCTGGTCCAATTCTGTTTCCAACACAGCCTGCAAGGTTGAAGACGCATTCTACTGTTCTGCAAATACCTGTCATTACAGCCTATGTTTATATCTCTACATTATTTATTCATTTATTCAACAAATATTTGTTGAATAGCTTCCATTACCAGACTTTACTAAGTGCTGGGCATCTTGATATGAATTAGCTTTCAAGGTGCTCACAGACTTATGAGAACATAGACTCGGACACAAATTTTAAACCAGCATAGTGAGTACAACAGTGGGAGGGGAACAAGGTTCAGTCATAATACACAGCAGCAACTGATTAACTCCCGGTGGCATGATATCCGTGCTTGATTTTGAAAGGTTACTAGAGGTTTCCTGGGCAAACCAATGATAGTGGGAGTGCGAATGGCATATGGAAAGCGACAGAGGCAAGAGAGAACATGGCTCATTCGGAGAACCACACCCTGGTTTGAAGGAATATAAGGTACAAGGTGGCAGGCAATTGATGACAGGCAGGCAACTGATGGAATTTCAATCTAATGGCCTCTGTTTTCTCCGTGAGATGAGAGTGACAGGATATTTTGAAACGTAGGCAAAAACTGGGTAGGAAACTTGGAGGGAGGTTTAAAAGGACTGCTGAATTGTTTGTAAAACAGAAAAGATTGGGAAAAACCTAAAGGCCCATCAATAGGGAACTGGCTTAACAGATTACAGTCCACCCATGCAATGGAATACCACACAGCCAGGAAAAAAGATATGTATTGATAGATATTGATATGAGAAGATCTGTAAGACATAAATTGTTTAGTGAAAAAAAAGAACACATATGTGTTCCTTTATGTTTTATGCAAAAGGCAGTAAAAGAAAAAAAATTTCCTAATATGCATAAAATGTCTCTGGAAGAATGCAGCAGTAAGTCACAGTGTTGGTGGCCCAGGGATAGAGAATCTGGATGGCTAGGAGAAAACGGTTGAGAGAATTGACACTGTACACTTCTGAATTTTTGAGTCATAGGACTGTATTATTTATTCAAAATGAATTAAAAACAAAAATCTCTAAAATCCATTTGGTAAAATATAAAAGAATAATTTCTGAGGTCAATGGAAAATCAAATTACTAAACTTTGGTCTAATGGCTATGTTCCTCTGGGACCTTGTACTTAAGCCTAACTTGGGAAGATATGAAGGAAATATTTCTTTTCATTAGGGGTTTCTGTTTGGGAAAGGTGACTTGGTTGAGTTATGGGGATCAGAGCTGGAGAGAGATTTACAGAGAAACCTAACCAAGGTTGCTGATTTGGCCCCTCATAGCAGGATCCCCAGCCAGGGTCTCTTCAGCATCCTAGCAAAGCTGCTTTGGTTACATCAAAGCAGCACCTTAAAAAGGATTTAAAATACTTTACTGTACCTGTTGTTGCAAACTCCTGTTGGTAGTAAGTGAGTTAAACCCAAACTCTGGCCTTTAGGAGCTAGGAAGTGGAATGGACACCAATTATTGCTTGACACATTAACAAATAATAACCAAGACTGACTTTTGTGTGTGAATTGTTGAATCAGATTCATTACCTGATAGTCATACCCTTTTATCTCTAACTAAATACAGAAATAAATATTCTGGGTGTTCGACAAGGAGCCTGTGAAGTATTGTCTCTGTGCCAGAAAATGTTAGGCATTGGCAACACAAGGATGACTAAACCATTGTCCTTAGTGTCTGGGACCGTATAGAGAAAGATACAAAGAGAAAATTAGAATAAAATGTGATCTATCAGAGAGGCATGAAGAGAATTCTGTGGGAACCCCGAAGAGGGAGGGAGTAACTCTACTTGGGAGGAGTGGGGAAGGGCTTCATTGAGGAGAAAATATGTAAACTGAGTCTTAAATGGGGAGTTGAAGTTGAGGGAGGATGATTGGGACATTCCAAGCAAAGAGAATGCAGTGTGCTAAAACAACAAGGCTCAAAATAACACAGTGTGTTCGCGGGACACCATGCAGCTGGCTCTGACTCCAAAATCAGGTGTCTTTCAGGGAGTGGTAAGAGCTGAGGCTGGGCAGGCAGGTTGGGACAGGGTTACGAAGTACCTCAAGGGCCTGGCTAACAAATTTAGGCTTCGTCCTGTCGGCAAAACACTAAGTTCTCAATCAACGTGCTAAGAGATGGATTCCTTTGCCATTGCTGTCTAGCCTCTTTTCAAGCAGGTGTCTTTCTGTCAGCTTCCATATTCTTGTTAAAGCAGAACCATAATATGGAAGGCAGGTTTGCAGACTTGGTGTTACCTTTTCCATTCTTCTTTTGTATTATTCTTTCACATCTAATTAGTTCTCAGAGTCTGTGACCCTTCTGTCACAAGCTCTTTCTGTTTTCTTAGCTCCACCATTTAGTAACCATGGCAGGTACAGAGCTAAGCGCTTTATGTGAGCCATCTTATTCAATCCCCAAAGCAACCCAGTGAGGTTGTATTCCAGTCAAGGCTCTTGGTGGCAAGCAGCAGGTAACTCAAGCAGAAAAGGAACTTACTGGAAGTGTATCAGGCAATGCGCAGCATACATAGAAGGTGGAGCACTGGGAGCCAAGGGAAGAAGCAGAGCACAGAGTTGAGGTTCTACCTCTGCAACAATTTCCCAGGACATGTTCCACCATGTCTCTGGACTCTCATGCCCACCACAGCAGCCTTGAAAATCTCAAACTGATCACAGTGCCTTTGCATCACTACCCCTAAGTACAGAGAGGTGTGTGCACACCAACTGGCCCTGCTCAGGGCATGTGTCTATGCCCTAGCTGCCAGAGGGAGGCAGGGAATGTTTCCCCTTTGTGGCTTCCCACTTACATTGAAATTCACTCAAGTCAGGAAGAATTTTCACATACCGGACAGCAAAAATGACAAACTTCTACTAGTGTATTAGTATTTCGTGCATTTGTGGATGATGGGATAGACTTAGAGCAGGTAGGTTAGTTACCCAATTACCCAAGTAACACAGTCAGTCAGTAGTTGAGCCAGGATTGAAACCCAAGTCAGTTTATCTGAAAAGCCCACACTGTTATGCAATCAGCTGCATTCCCTGCTCTAAACCATTCCAGCTTTATTTCACAGCCCACACACGAGTCCAGGCTCCCCACAGCTCGTTTGCATTACTGCCTCCTCCCTGGTCTTTCTGCTTTGTGTTCCCCCATCTCAGTTCATCCTCTACTCAGTTGCTAAGATAATATTTTTTGAGTACCAACTACATCGTGTCAGCCTCTTGTTCAAAAAACCTGTGACTCACCCCTTCAAAAGCCTGCCCTGA